CAACCCCGTGCTCAAATGTTTAACCTCACACTTATATTTGTTCTGAATAAATACGAATGAACTACAGAGAAATGAAAGTTAGCCACAGTATGTCTGCATAAAACTGGGAAGAGTCACTGAAACTGTTCAGCTCCAGGATGGAGGCAGGACTTTCCCACACCAGGGAGCTGAAGCTGAGCAATTCACCTTGTATTGCTCAGTAAGAACCACTTAGCCAGTACTTTCCAGGACCAGCTGACAACCACGAGCGAGTTTACCCTCACACCACCAAGTATAAAGAGTTACCCTGTGCAATTGTGGAAAAAATGGAGGTTTTGCAGGTAATCTAAGAGCCTGGATTTTTTTTTGTTGATGCAGTTTTGCATTATACCCATAAGATGATTCTTGTACCTTGTCACAGACTAGCCATTCATTAAGTAATGATTCGGTCAGCCCAGCCAAGAGAATGATCACACAGATTTCTTACGCTTTCCTAGGCTAAATGACACCACCATCATTGCAAACTACAAAGGCATCAATTTTTGGAAACTCTGGTAGAACCTACCTAGTTCTCAGATGAAGTATAACTTTACATTCAGGCACGTATTTGCAATTTTTTTCCAGCAGTAGTGTCTCTATAGGCGTGCCTGTTAAAGCAGAAGCAAGAGTTTAGATAGCGATGGCATTTGGGTCACAGACACACGCGCAACACTTCTCAATCCCCCAAACTTTCTTTTGAATTTGCAACGAAACTCTGCTCACCTCGTAAAGGCTGAGGAAGTTGGTTTTCAGCTTGACACATCGACCATGAGATTTCAGACTCGGATGTTGTCGGACGAGTATCAAGGAATAAATACCACAAAGATGTTTTCTCCTTCTGTTGATTATCCACGTTTGGATGGACAGCTGTGCTTACGCTAGATCAAATGCAAGCGTTCAGAGAAAGCCAGTTCCTCTCATATCAGAGTATACCATTATCCGTAGCATAATCCTCTGGGGCACTTTTGTCTCCTTGAAATTTTAATAAATGATAGTGATGACTAGCAACAAAGAGGTATGCCATTTATTTATTACAATTCAAGGATCCGCTAATTCTCACCAATGTTTGGGGAAAGACACCACCCTTGGTGACCCCTGTGACAGTACCTCCTGCAAGCTGGCAAGCACATCACACGGGCATTGGACTGTGGGACTCTTTGGGGCGTCCATGTACCTCTTACAAATTATTTTTGTTATGAGAGATGCTGTCTCCATGCCAAATGGCCCAAATGGCCCTCTTCCAGGAGCCAGTGGCTCAGAGATCGTATACATTTCAGGGGGAGCTGGCTGTTGCTTGCGGAAATTAAGGTTGCAGGAGCTGATAGTGAGGGGTAATAGGAGGGGAAGAACTTCTGGACCCCCCTTTGAGAGGAAAAATCCACTCAGCATTATATACTTGATGTCAGGATACGGCTCACACGTTCTCAATGACTGGAGAACAGGGAGCCCAGGATGGAAATGCTAGGTTTACTCTGGGCTGGGTCATATCCTAAGATAAGGTAGTTGCCCCAAGTTCCTCTTGAAAGGCACCTACACACCGCAGGCTAAAATAATCCTGTTATGTTCATTGCCTCTTTAAAACAGACAGGCAAAATCTATCTGAGAAGGGGCGCAGTGACCAAGATCTTCATAGTTTCATAGTCGCTAGGGTCAGGAGGGACCTGAACAGATCATCTCGCCTGACCCCCTGCCACAGGCAGGAATGAATGCTGGGGTTCCCAGACC